AAGGGTTGGGGTGTTCGGCTATGGTGGATGGGTGTAGGTGATGGAGGTTGAAGATGGGGTGTCCGGCTATGGTGGATGGGTGTAGGTGATGGCTCGCTTGTCCCGTGGTCCGCAACCGATCCTATTCTACCGCCCAACTCCCTATCCCTTACGTCTTTTTCGTAGGTCGTTGGTCTTAGCCTCACGTGCCCCCCCTTGCCATAGTGAAGGCAGTCTTTTCAGAACCGTAGATTCCCAAGAGAGGAAGCAACAAGAAGTGATCCGTCAACACTTTCCCAAGCATTTAGGGCCGCAAAACGGACAATGCGAACAGCACCCTGCCCCGGGGATTGAACAGCGAAGTATCGCTGGGTGAACAACAGCCTACTCATGCACATAGGAGAGCAAACGGACAATGTGAACAGCATCCCGTGCAGGGGTTGAACAGCGAAGTACTACCGGGTGAACAGCGACCTACCCATGCACCCAGAACAACAAAAGAACGATGTGAACAACATCCTACACGGGGACTGAACAGCGAGTACTACCTAGTGAACAGCAGCCCACCCATGCCCATAGAACAACAAAAGAACAATGTGAACAGCATCCTACCCCGGGACTGAACAGCGAAGTACCACCGGGTGAACAGCAACCTACCCATGCACATAGAACAACAAAAGAACAATGTGAACAGCATCCTACCCGGGGACTGAACAGCGAAGTATTACCGGGTGAACAACAGCCCACCCATGCCCATAGAACAGCAAAAGAACAATGTGAACAACATCCTACCCCGGGGACTGAACAGCGAAGTACTACCCGGTGAATCAGCAACCTACCCATGCACATATGACAGCAAAAGAACAATATGAGGAGCATCCTACGAGGAGGAAACATCACCGAGGTATCCCGAAGTGAGGCACCACACACACACTCATCACGGACAACACAAAGGTGAGATTTGAAGCATCCTATGAGGAGAAAACATCACCGAAGTATCCCTGAGTGGAGCGCTACACACACATTCATCAAGGACAGCATAAGCACAAGATTTGAAGCAATCTATGAGGAGAAAACATCACCGAAGTTTCCCGAAGTGAAGCGCCACATACACACTCATCCAAGACAGCCTAAAGACAAGATTTGAAGCAATCTATGAAGAAGAAACATCACCGAAGTATCTCGAAGTGAAGCGCCACACACACACTCATCCAGGATAGCCTAAAGACAA